GTACTAAATTAGTTGCTTATGGGAAGAGCATGGATCCATGTAACACTAATGACTTTTTCCTGTTTTCAAGTGTGAAACACTTTTTCTTGCCTCCGGTACCAGGACCGAAAATTAAAGGCTTTGACAGCCATCTTCTCAAGGTAAATGAATGAGCCCGGTTCACTGTCAGGAAGTTAAAAGCAATGCACCGGGACAGTATGTTTCTGTTCTATATCATTTCGTGTTTTTCTTACTCTGTTCCAGAACATAAATGACTGATAATTTAATGTTATGGTTCTAATGATGGGAATTACTGTCTAACGTAATATCCTCAGCACTCAGAGCAGCTGAGCTGCAGCTAGATGCAGGTATCTGCAGTTGTTCTCCTCCTTGGCGTCCATCTGTTACGCTGCATTCTTTGGCCCACAGAAGGGGAAGTCGGAGGAGATTTTCAGCGTCTTGATTAGCCAAGGATTCCCTCCGACGTCGGACGGTGAGGACCTGTTAGTGGAGTATCTGGAGGTGTCTGAAGGCTTACAGCAGGACCCTGCACCCACAGCCCTGCCTGAAGCCCAGGAACAGCAAAGAGACCGGAGCCCCGCCCCCATCGCCGATTCTGGGCAGGGCTCTAGTGTCCATCACACTTTGCAGGTGAAGTCCGGTGAGGAATCCGGCACACGGAGCGTCAAACAGACGCCAGCCTTCAGTGGCCCCTTGGTGACGTCCAGCAACAGCAGTCAAGCCCCTAAGCCTGACGGGAAGGCCAATACTATCTCCTCCTCCTCCTCTTCTTCACGGCCGTCGTGTGTCCAGGGGACTCTTTATGTTGCTGAGGTACTAATAGAGGGGCTGCCCCCTGCCACTGAGCAAGATCGCCAAGTCACGCCGGCTGGGGTTTCCCCTTGCAACTCTCCCGTTGATAGTGACTATACACAGGATGAGTCGGGCCTCAGTGGAAATCGCGGCACTGCTCAGAGGCCGGACGTCTCTCCTTCGGCCTTCAAGCCCACTGAGTATGTAGAGGTTCAGAATGTGAACCAGGAGGACAGACTGATACTGAGACCCAAAGCGAAGGAGGACATTGGGGACCTGTGGCAGGTGGGGCTCAGAGGGCAGGAATACAGCAAAGTGAGCGAACTCATCAACAATCACCTCCTCCTGCTGGAGAGGGGATCGACATCGGCGGGCCCCAGTTATGGTGCCACGGAGGGCCCGGTTGAGGGCCGTGCCCAGCAGCAGCCAGCCAAACCAACCCTCCAGCAGGGACTAAATGGCTATGTGGATACAGGTAGCATGCTGGCACCTTACTGACTGGCGCAGTTAGCTGTCTCAGGGCCCTCAAAAGCCAATCAAAATGAATAAATTGCAAATTGATACCACCCCTTTGACAAAAGGTCCAATGGGGAGCATTTATCCGCACCTGTGTCATTCGTGTCCTTTCAGGATTTCCCTGTTTGTTTTTGCACTTCTTGAGATCTCTGTAGAACATTTATTTGATTAGAAAGGCCAACATATTACTCTCACCTCTCTCTGCTGGAGCAGACACAGGTGTTTTTGTCCTTAATCACATCCTGAAGCAGCAACATCTTAATCTGTGGCTTGGACAGCAGCTAAGAATGAACCAAAATGGTTCACAAAATGATTGGGGTGGATTTCACTTTTTTATAAGCATAAATACTTTTCTGATGCATGTTTTTTTTTTGGTGGGATGTGTACATAAGAGAGAAAAATTATAAGAGAGAATTAATTATATTTTATTATATTATAAGTGTTTGATGTCAAGCTCTTTAACCACTCTATCCTTTCCACTCACCGGAACGCCTCTGAGGACTTTCTGGTCAAACGTTGGGAAACGTGCACCATCATTCAGCTCTGGCATTATACACACGGGCGGCAAGGTTGATTGGTCAATGTTCGCGAACCCGGCCTTGCAGCCTGCAAACTGAAAAACCCGCTAATCGCTAAAACATCGGGCGTGTTTGTTAGCATTGCAGGAATTTGTTTTCCCTTGGGGTTGCACGCGTCGACTTGTCGGTTAGCAAGCCGCACTCACGCTACCACATATTTTCTAGGCGCCGCAGTGATGTTTCAGCAGCTTTCAGATTCCGTGGGAACACCACACTGCACTAAAGCTATCACATGACTTATCGTGTACAGTGGGGTATTTACACCACACTGCACTAAAGCTATCACATGACTTACCGTGCACAGTGGGGTATTTACATCCTATGCACTGTTTCTAAAATACAGTGGAGCATTTGTACAGTGTGAAACAGGAAGTCTGGTCCTTTTACCTTTATCGCTGTTTGGCATCATCTAAACAGCATGATGTAGGATATATTTCTGTTTCTGTTTTACCTGTACAGCACAAGAAAACATTATTCCTTCATAGCTCCAGTGTCAGCCATGCCAGAGATACAGATCACCAGACCAATCACCTCTCCAAAGTGCATAATTCAACACTAGGAAAAAGAAATTTAAATATTATAGCAGGACTCTTCAAATCTGGACCTCAATTCCAAATTCAGGCCTTGTTTTCAGTTCTCCCACGTTAGTTACCGTAGTTTAATAATCACTGATTCTGATTGGTCAGAGGCTTCACACCTGGCTCATGGGTATAGGAAGGCTGGAAAACCAGCAGTGGACCTTAAGAACAGATTTGTAATCTGTAGCTGCTTGTACACTTTTGGAAGGACTATCCATATACATATGAACAAAATATAACATATTTTTCTAACAATAACAAAGTTGAAACTATATTGATTAAAATATGTAAAATAATGATTTTGAAATGCAGTCGGAATTGCCCAATGGCCACTTTCATAATTATTCATAAATCTTAGTTTAACACTTTCATGTTTGCCATGCTATTAACATCTTGCTTGAAAATACCCGATATTACCTATTCAAATCTACACATTAATAAGGCTGACTGTGTAAATAACTAATATTGTTTGTAAAATCTGTTTTATTTGTTATTGGCTTGGCCATTGATAAGCCAACAATGTGTGAGATTAGGGAGTAAATTAAAGAAGTTATTGGAATTTAAAAATGATCAATATGTGTATGTAATATATGCCAGCAATACTGTCAAAATCTAGAATTAAGCTGGTATGAGCATAGTGTGTTGGTAGCATCCTGAGCAAGCAGCCTCTTTTCCCAGCATCAAAAATGGTTTAATGGGTTCATATCTACACGATAAAACCACGGCTAAACAGTGGCGTTTGGGTCAATAAGATTATCTTACTTAAGTCATGTATGTTTTGGAGTTCAGCTACATGAATCGGAAAGAATTTTATTAGCTACAGTGTTGTGAATAAGAAAGTACACAATTATGTCAATTCATTGATTTTATATATATATCAGGATAAAAAATAATCTAGTCCTTCCCAGGGTCCTACAGTTATTTGTTTCTGAGAAATGTTGGTTGCTTTACCTCTGGACATTACTTACACTCGTTGACATTTGAGGGTATTTATTTATGATCAGCTCTTGTAAGGTCCTACCACACATCTCAGTGGGGCTGATATCTGCCATTTTAAAACTTTGGTTTTTCTCTTTTTTACCCAATCAGTTATAGATTCTTGGCATCATTGTAAGCACTGCCCTGTTCCATAGCCCAAACTGCCAAAAGTTCTGCCTTTTTAGAGACGCTCACACTTCCTGATCATCATCTATTCCAATACATTTGATTAGCAGTGGCTGCTAATTAACTTCTTTAATTGCCACAGCAGCAGATAGGGCGCGCATACGCTTTCCCATGTGGCTTCCGCATTTTGGGTTGCTTTTCTTTGAATAAATAATGGAAATGAGAAGTGTTACATGTTTGTCCGTTATCTGAAATTTGTTTCATTTTAAAAGTTGGGGAGGAAATGACATTTATTTATGCTCTGATATATAAGACCATAGAACTGAATGAGGGTGTACATTCTGTATGATAAATACTGTTCAACGATATTATATTTCATATAAAGAAATATTTTCTGTGGACTTTCCTGTAAACTGTAAAAGTATGTCTGACCATGCAGCAACCATGCTTAAAAATGAACCAAGAACCCAGCTTCAGAGCAATCTGGGCATTTTCCATTGACAGCATGTGGTATCGGGACTAGCAGAGGTGGATAAATCAGGTCCAGAAAGTAAAAATCCGAACCAGGATTTTGTTCCAACCAACCAGTTGAGCATAAAAAAAATCACAGTCGCAGAGTACTCCACTGGTTGGTTGAAACAAAATCACGGTCTGGATTTGTACTTTCTGGACCCAAACTATCCACTTCTGGTTACTGTTTGTGTTTAATCACATTTGTGTGCACAGCTATTTATCAGATTTCTTACGTTGCATTTGTAAGGTTAATCTTGGTTGCTACCATATTTGTAGCTGCCTCTGCCAAACAAGACTTCATAAGATTGACTCCATTGAGGGATGAAACTATGTCAACAAGCCCAGTTAGTTCACAGCACCAAAACCCTAATCACCAGCACAAATACCTCATGAGCTCTTCGCTGGTCTCCAGGGTATGATGTCATATTCCATAAAAAAAATCAGACGGAAAATAAGCTGTGTTAATGCTAAACTCAGCAGCAACAATAGCCAATTAACACTAGAAAACTAATTAGTATTAGCAAACCAGCATCCAGGTCATACCATATAATTCTTTTGAGCACACCTTTTCTGCATGGTATAAGTGAAAATCCAAATAGATAAAACAGTTAGTAGTGAAAACAACTGTATGTGTGTATTTGTGTATTTGCTAACGCTAATTATATATGCTACATTACACACAGTAAGTGTCTAACAACATGGTTCTCTGGAATTCAGTGTTTTTACTTTTGCGTCCATATGAAAGCTTATTTAAATGGAACTCAGTTGCAGTTTTGTCAGAATGTTCCGTCTTCTGTTAGTTTAGATCAAAAATCAGGCCATCTGGTTACATTTATTTGTCCTTCTGAAATGAAACAACTGCTACTGGGAATGGTGGAGCCTAAGTATGTGTTGCTCTATTCTATCTATTGTTTGGATGTGTAGATTTTGGTTAAATTTCTTATCACTTTAAAAATAGCGTCATGGAGAATTTAGCAGAGGTCCAGGTGCTTCATGCAGTTTGACCAGTTAGCTGCTGTGCTCTGCTGACACGCTGAATGGCTTTGGCTGGATGGACTGGTTAATGTTAAACACTGCATGACTACTGTAAGATTAACTTTCTGTTAAAATACATCCAAACCACAGCCGATGTTGCTCCAAATGGTACGACTTACTTGACCAGCATGATGTTTTTGACAAGGACCAATGAAAACCATCACTTTGAGTTCCTCATTTTAAAACACGCCTATACAAAAAAATACATAGGTTCCATAAAGCAGGAGTGTCAAGCTTCATTCCTGGCAGACCTTGTTTTCATTCCATGCCCTGATATTATCTGACTTGTGAAAACTGACTTTTCTTGAAAGCGCAGGAAATGCAACTGCATTAACAAATGTAATGTCTTGGAATATTTCAGAAGGGATGAACCAGGTCCCCCTGCTTCATGTCCTGTGCTTCATGAAGTCAGCTCTAGGCTTACCTGGAACCTTGTACTTGATGAGCTATAATGGGTGGATGCATGGATGGATGATGGAATAGCCACCACTAAGCTGGCCAAGGAGTCTGACACTTTTGATATCAAGTTTGATACCAGTGGGTTGAGTCAGGGGACATTTCCATTGGATGTTCATTGTTCATTGTGTGAGATATGCTGGAAGAGCATGCAAGGTCTTTGTTTCTCTGTAACTGTATCTGTGTATGTCTATACGTTATGTCACCAAATACTGAAGTACACAGTCTTTAGAAAAAAAACTCTTAATTTCTGTTTTGAACAGTTAGTATTTTGCACCTCCCTTCCTGTATGACTGGATGCACTTATGAAGAGGATCAGCCAAAATAAATTAAATGATTTTTATAGTTAAACAGCACTTTAATAAATAGATTTATATTTAAATCTGTTTTTATATTAACTGTCTAAACTGACTGTTGAGTGTTGTCACAATTTATAAATACACTCCTCACATTTTTTTTTTTTAAATTTCATAAAAATGTCTCAAACAATCTGATACAAGACTTCCATTTTGGATGTCACTCTGCTGTAGATTTCTTTTGTAAAAGTCAATAATGTAATTGTCATACTTTCATGCTTCCTAACACTGTTTCTTGTACAATAGTATACTGAAAACCAATGTACTACTTTATTAAAAATGAAGTATTGCTCAATCGAAAACTTTCCCACTTTAATACTGTTTTTCTGTGTCCTACTCTATTAACTATATTTTTGTAAGAGTGTTTGCTGCACACTTGTCATTTATTTAAAGATTAATGGAAAATAGTGACTGATGATTCTAGTCCCCTTACACCTTGGCTGAGTTTTGCTCCTGTACTAGATCAGGAATACAATACATACAATAAAATACTTGCTGTGTATATGTCACCTTGCTGCGTCTCTTTGTGTACAATGTACATTTGTGGAAAAAAACGGGGCACCCCAACTTTTAACAGACTGTCAGACTGCATATCGGCATATTTTACAGGCTTTTTAGGTGAAGGAAATGCAGCTGATTGGAAAAAAAGGTTTCCGGATCGCAAAAAATACCGATTACACTCCTCCTGAACCACGTTGTTTAAGACTATACCACTAGATGGCCACATTTCTTTACTTTTCCACTAAGGAAATTGTAGATTATCACCGACTACATGTTAGTTGGTTGCACAAGAAAAACAAAAATGAGACGCCATTCATTTAAAGATAATTTAATGAAGTATATTATGAATGTTACACTATAGAACAGATAAAACTCTGCAAGAAAGAATGTAAAACTATGTGGCTATCCCTCTTAATATGGGAAAAAATAATGTATTTTATGAGATGTCTAAAGTAAAGCATACCCTCTTAAGAATACGGTAGAGCAAACGTTATGTTGCTCAATATCTGCTATATATCCAGCAAAACTCAGGATTTTCACGTAAACAAGAACACGGCCAACCTGGAGCCAGAGAGTCAGGTAACACTGATTTATGCGCTCAGCACTTTAATATTTAACAAGTTCACAAATTATTTTCAGCTCTGCTCTCTGCGCGTAAGAGTTCGCTGAGGTAGTTACGTCACATTTGGAAGTTGTGGGAGCGGCTGAATATCCACTTAGGAAAGGTCAGGTAATTATGCCGTGTGGGTCGCGAATTCAATTTCCGGTCGGTGCCACACCTATTACACAGATAAAAATACAATGATGTTTATTTCCACGGCTACAGTTACAATACACACCTTTTGTCATATACCTGCACCTGCTGCGGGTATCTTGGCCCCTAGGATTGCAAGTACGCCTCAAAGACTTGTTACGAAAGCGATTTGGAATTGAAACTAATAATTGTGAATTTTGTGATAGTACAGAAACCGCTTTCGATTAATTTTTCTAACGCAATTATGAAGCTTCGTGGCTTGATGGACATGACTGGCTTTACCCAAAGATCTTTAAAATTTTAAAACGTTTCCCAAAAGGACATTGCTTGTAGCCTTGTCATAGACAATAACAAAGATGACATTCTGATGAATAATATCTTTATTTCTGGAAAAATTTATTTTCCCAAATCCCAATATTTGAAAGTAAAAGCTAAGTGTAGTGTGTTTCTTGATGAGTTTTTTTCCTACACAAAAGCCCTTGATAAAAAAGTGCTTACAGAAGTGCTTTGAAACTGTTTAGTATAACAGAAGATTACAATTTACAAAGGAATCCCTAGCGCCTTAATATTATTTCTGCGGTGTCTGTTTTGAGTTGTCTTCTGTTTTTTTTTTCTCGGTATGCACCTGATCCTTGTAATTTGTGAAGCAATATCAAAGTCATATTGTTGTACATGGGAAATTGTTCCATAAAAAAAAACAAAGTAGGGTTTAAATCTGACGGCCACCTAGGCAAGAAGTTTATACGTAAACACAAAGGCGTTAATTTATAGGCTCTTTCTCTGCCGGAATTCAGTAAGACGCCCATCCTACTCCAACAGCTTTTCGTCTCAGGTGGCCTTGACTACTGCGTGACCTCGGCTAGTCCATCGCGCACACTCATCTGCCATGGGGCACACTCCTCACATATACAAACCTTATATTACCAATATCTAACTGGTTTCTGCTAAGTAAGATTAAGCCAAAACACGAGGAAACGATTCACCCAACTTTTTTTTTTTTTTTTCATTTTCTCTGTCGCCCAAACCAATTCGCAAATTCAAATGTAGGGTAGAATAAAACGTGAGCGCTGATAGGTGCACGTGTCGTGAGGGGGCGTGTCCTTCCGACTCACGGGGCACAATCAGACGACAGCAGTTGGTAGGGGTAAAGGGCAAGGTACTATTTATTATGGACTAGTTAATGATCTATTTAAATATGACAACAATAGCAATTGTTTAAAAATAATTATTAACATGTAAAACTGTATATTTTAAAAAGTAAATCCCATTACGCAAGCTGGATAATACTATTTTTAAACTAAGCTGGCTCTAATACTGAAGGCAGTATTTTGTGCATTAAATTAGGGCTGCACTTCTGCAGGTTGGTAGATGTCTAGCAAACAGGAATGAGCAGCCCAGTTGTAGAACCTTATGGGACAAATTAGCCAACGTGCATTTCTTTGCACTACAGTAGGAAACCTGCACAACAAAGGAACAACATGCACACTCCACATAGGTGGGATTCCATGTCTAGAAGTGTAAGGTAACAGTGCTATCCAGGGGGTGATGTGCTATCACCACATCACCCAATAAATTATGGTTCCTGTTTTTCTCGTCCAGTAAGAGCTTGGTATGGTCAAAGGAGTCAGTCTGATGTTTGCAATGATATGTGAGGATTTAGAGACTTAAGTATGTTTTATGGCTTTTAAATTTTTTTTGCATATACACTTTGTGTTGTTCCTACCTATCTTCCCCTGAAAACAGAAACCCTGATAAATCTTGCAGGCCCAATCCACAAGCTCTGGTTCTGTTATCAGTTGTAAGCAAGTGGTAGAAATTTGCACATAATTACAGCATTAAAATGCTTGAAAATGTGAAGACAACAAAATATCAGCTGAAATGCCAGAAGGAACAGGAAGCCCTAAATGCATCATCTGACTTCTGAAAGAATACCACCCACGACATTTTTGTTGAATATGCATACTTAACTGCCTACAGTGTTGGCTAATTTTGACAAAAAGAGAGATTACTAAACAAACCTGAAAAACCTTGAGATGCTGGCTGGGCTTGTCCTGACAGTGACCTGAAAATGAACTGTGTAAATTTTCCTTTGAAGCCTTAATTTTACGGTTTAAAAAAAGATTTTAAAAAGCTATGTGCTAATGCAAGCTGAGCACTTTTGAATATAGTAAATAAGTCTGAAACTAGTTTTGATCTTTAATGGGGGAGCGCACTGGCTGATGAATATCTGCAGCAGAATTAGTGCTTAGTTTCTCAGCAGCCTTGAAATAGTTTTATATTCCAACGTGGCGTTCTATTATAAGGCTTTAATGCGCCTCCCTGGCAGGCCAACACAAAAATGGTGAGGCCAAGATCTTAAAGTGTGGCTCCTCAGATTACCAGGCCACGCCCTTTCGATATAAGGTGCCACATATATACGGTGACATACCTGTGGTCTCCCTATGCCACCACCACGCCCATAGAGAAGCTCTGCATAGGATAGCCCATGGATAGAAACCAAATCTGAAGGCAAAGGAATCTTAAGTGCCAAGCATTTAGATAACGACCCCTCAGTGGGGCTAAAATACTTAGAGGCAGGTGGGTGGCATATAATTATTCTCTTAGCTGCTATAGACCATTATGTGAACCAAAGTGGTTCTGATTTTACCTTCGTAGTACATTGTTATTTATTTAAAAAACGCTTTGGTTCATATAACTGAGAAGTGCATTGGTTTCATTTTTGCGTGTCTTTCTGGTGCTAAAAGTGTCTAGTCAGGACATGAAAAGAGGACACTGCCTCTCTGTGATGCTGTATAAAGGTGAAAGATACATCCGTTGTCTGAAAAAAATATAAGGTAACTGCACTGTTTGTGTGACTCATCCACCATATTGACCTTAACTTTGTTATATTTTCAGCAGCAGGCGAATTTTAAAACACAATGCTCCATGCATCTTCTGTAAGCACTTATCCCGTACAGGATTGTGGTGCATCTGGAACCTTCTCCACACAGGCCACGAAGCAGAGGCAGACTCCACTGTTGAAGGTCACCCAAAATCACTCGCTACGGAAATGAAATTGAGACGCATATTGGCATAACTGCATGTTTTTGGACTGCAGCAGGAAAATGTATGAAGACCTGCACACAGATCCGAGGGAAGGGATCCAGTTACCGATCCTGGAGGTGTGAGGGTACAGGTCTCCCCACTGGGCCACAATGCCGGCTTTTCTGTGGTTTTTTTTGTATTATTCAAAGGAGCCCTACAAGAGTATCACTGTTTCAATCGCAGTGATACAACAATGTAGCAGTAAAAGAAAAATAAAGTGACAAAAATTCTTTCACTTCAGTATATTTACAAATTAACAGCTTAGAGAAGTTGCCTGTTTTATTTGCATATTTACATAGTTAGAGGAGAACCGAATAATATTATTTAGACAGAGTCTAGAAATTTTATTAATCCTGAATGAAAGTTTTGGTTTCGGGAAGCAGTGGTTTCACTGGCAGCTTATAGTGTTCTGTCTGTGGTTTCGCTTCTTGCCCCTGGTCTTTTAAAATGCCCAGAGTCAGTTTGTGCTCCATAATGGACTGGAACCTCCCCTGTTGTCTTGGGTCTCCTGGGATGGGCTCTAGTGTCACCATGAACCTGAACTGGGTAAGCGGTTATGAAATATGGATGGTTCTGGTCCATGCAAAAAAAAGAAAAAGTGGTGTTCAGGCAATAATATTTTTCTTGAAAGACTCAGCTTTGTTTGGTCCATTTATAAGAAAACAAAGCCGGCTTTGTTCCCGTGTTTGAGGTCTTGCACTGTTTTCATTATCGCTCTGATCGTGATAGATTAAGCATAACAATATTTGCAATTGTCCTTGAAAGATGAATAACTGAGCTACATAATAATTCCATCCACTCATCTATATAGCCACTTATCCAGTGTAAGTTCTTACTAAGCTTGGAGTCTATCCCAGAAAGCGTGAAATGACACCCACCCATAACCACAGCTCAGACAGCCACCGAGCCGAACGCAAATATAAACATTTTCAATCTAACTGTTATTTGCCTATAATATTATTGATTTGGCGGCAGCTGTAATTTGTTGTATATTTTGCTATTATATTTTCTTGGGCTTTACTTAATCGGTTTTCCGCATACTACATAATAAATTAGATGAGAAAATACACGGAGAAGATCATTAAAAATTTAAAAAAGCTCATAAAAAAATAAACATCCAGGTTTTACTTTTTAAGTGACGTCCGTTTCGTCTCGTCCGGTGCCAGAATC